GTGGGGTCGGCCAAGAGGAGCAAGCATCAACGAATTTGGGGAGCATGAGAAAGGTGTGGAGGTGGGGTCCACTGAGTGGCTGGCGGGTCAGGGCAGAGCGCACAGATGAAGCAGGTGGGGGATCCACGCGCTGAGCGGTCTCGGGCAGAGGCGGCCTGCGCGGAGGGCGGAGGGTTGGGGAGGGGTGGAGGGTAAGGGGGGGGAGGGCGGCGCACGCGTGGGGGGAAAGGGACGCTGGACGGCGCGCGTCACGCTGGGTTCGGCCCAGGAGGGGGGCTTTTGGGTGGCCCCCGGGAGGGGTTTGCAGGACCCTGTGCCTGCGCCTCTCAAGCTCCCTGCTAACCCTCTACAGACGCTAGATGGCGGCGGCCCCCCGAGGGTGACCATGACACCTGAGGGACAAGGGAGCCCGCGACAGGTGGAGGACTCTGGGGTCGCCCAGTAGGGTCCAGAGGCGAAGACTCTGAGGAGCAAGCGAAAAGGCACCGAGGTGGGGCCTTGGGGGTCTGGGGGCGTCCGACAGTGTGCGAGGGACGAGCTGGGTGGGCCCCACGCTCAGAGGGGTCATGGGCGGTAGGTCCAGTGCGGTGGGGAAAGGAGGGGAGGGGTGGCGCGTGCTGGGGAGGTGGGCGGAGCAGGAGGGCGCACTGGGGCTTCGGAGTATGGGTGGGACAAGGGACTGGGGGCGTGGGCGCATGCGCGGGGAAGGAGCCGCGGCGGCACACTCGGGGTCCTCCTGCCCGCCGGGTACCGGGCCGGGGCCGCATCTTTGCGGCGTCTGCGCGAGGCGGAGGCGGCAAACCTGCGCGCAGGGCTGGCGGCGCGACGGTTGGGGAGAGCGTTGAGAGCAGGCGCTGCGGCGGGTGGACGCGGGTCCCTCAGCCGTGGAGGCGGAGGCGGTGGTGAGGCCTGAGCGGTGAGTGTCCGGGACCTCTGCCCCTTCCTTTTCCTCTCCAAGCCCCCCTACCTTGGGCACTGCTCCCAGGGCGCCCCCGGAAGGAGGAAGTGCGGCCCCAAAACAGAAACACAGCGAACAAGCACACAGAGTAAGAGAGACTCTCTGTACCCCAAACCACACAGAGAAGCAAACCAGAACAAATTAAACAAAAAGAGACTCTTAGGAATTTTATTTTGGCTGTGCAAAGTATTTGGATGCAAGAGCTTTGGAAGCAAATGTTTTGGTTCTAGTCCTAACTAGTCCAGAATTTATTTGCTGGGTGACTGTCTTAGTCGGTGGGGCTGCTGTAACAGAGTACTGCAGACTGGGCAGCTTATAAACAGTAGAAATTTATTTCTCACAGGTCTGGTGGCTGGGCAGTCTAAGGTCAAGGCCCTGAGCTAACATCTGTGACCATCTTCCTCTATTTTGTATGTGGGTCGCTGCCACAGCATGGCTTTATGAGTGGTGTAGGTCCACACCTGGGATCTGAACCAGTGAACCTGGGCTGCCAAAGAGGAGTGAGCTGAACATAACCACTATGGCACTGGGTGGGCCCCTCCTTGCTCTTTTTTATGTTTATCTTTCTACATAAACTTTACAACCAAAAGGAAACTTATTGCTTATTATTTTTATTAGGCTAACACTAAACATATGCTAACTTGGGAGAAGAATGACATCTTTATGCTCTCAGGTCATCCTCTTCAAGAACAAGGAATGTTCTTCCAATTGTTCAAATCTATTTGCCTTTTATAAGAGAGCTTTAAAGTTTACCTCGTATAAATTTTGTACATTTTTTGTTACATTTATTCCTAAGCATTTTGTCTCTTTGTTGCTGTTATAAATGGAGTATTCTCTTCTTTTATATCTTCTTAAGAGTTATTGTTTATATAAACTGTATATATGAAAGTTTTTGGTTTTTATGTTAATTTTATATCCTGCTACTTTCTTGAATTTTTTTATTGTTTGTGTTGAGTTTTGCATTGATTCTCTTGGGTTAAGCAGTTATATCTGCAAATAGAAATCCTTTTACTCTTGTTTTCTTGTCTGATTCAATTGGCCAATACCTCCAAGACAATGTTCAAGTTAGTGGATATAGTGGTCATTGTTATTTTTTCTAAAATGAGGTGTATACATTTTATTATGTTAGGATGTATTCATGAATTCTTATTTGTTTATTTAGTTGTTTTTTAGTTGTTTTAATCAGGAACAGAAGTTAAATTTTGTCAGAATCCTTTTCAGCATATGTGGAGATGATTGTTAGATTTTTTCCCCCTCTGAGATATATTAATGTGGTGAGCTACATGATAGATTTTCTAATATTGAACAATTCTTCTGTTCTTAGAATAAATGCCACCTGATTTTAGTGTATTTTTTTAGAATATGCAGTTGGATTATGTTTGTTAGTATTCTGTTCAGAATTTTTGTGTTGATATGATAAGTGGAATCAGTGTTGTTTCTTTTGGGGGGTAGTCTTTGTTAGATAGATTTGTTTCCAAAAAATAATTTGATTAATTTCCTTCTGTGCTCTGGAAAATTTTAGTATTGGAATTATATGACATTTGAAGGACAGAATTTCCCTATGATTTGATGGAGCATTTCTTTGATACCCTCTCTATTTCTTCAAGGAAAATTGGTCTATTTTATATCTCTAAGAGGATAAATTTTGGTGTATTGTATTCTTCTAGGGAATTTTCCATTCAATCTAGATTTTAAAATGTATTTGTGTAGAGTTATACAAGTAATTACTTCTGATTTAAAAAAAAAACCCCTCTGTTTAAATGCTTTTTCCTTCTTGTCTTTTTTACGTCTTTACTTCCCCCCCCCCCCCTTTTCTTGATTAGGTTAGCAAGTTGTTTGTCTATGTTTTTTCCAAAGAACCAGTTTTGATTTTTTTATTCTGCAGTTTTTTTTAACCTCATGATTTTCTTTTTTTTAATCTTTATTTTCTTCATTGTGCTCTTTTTCAGTTTAACTTTATTTTTTTCTAGTGTATGTAAAGTATTTCATTTTTTGTTAATATGAATATTTGTGTCTATATTTCC